TACTATTTGTTATTATCTTTTCTTATAAAATTACTATAAAATCAATAGTATTGCATTAATAAAACGTTACCCAGTGGTCTAAATGAAATGATTTTGGTACCATTGGATTCGTCTCACAGAGACAAATCGAATGGTACCAAAAATAATCCTGATTGGATCACTGGGTCATAATATATCCAAGTTTTTGTAAAATTTTATATATGGATTTTTAAAAATTTTTTATATAGTCTAGAGGGGGTCAAGAGCTACTATGTAGGGGTACATAATATTATATGGATGCTCTCTAAGTGGGTTGTATATCAAAATCTGATATACAAAATCCCAATACACAAAATCCTGGCAACAAAATCCTGATAAACAAAATCCCGACAAATTAAAATTCTAAAAATATATAAATTAGAATTTTATTTTGTCAAGATTTTGTGTATTGGGATTTTGTTACTGGGATTTTGTGTGTCAGGATTTTGTGTATTAGGATTTTGATATACAACTGTATAAGTGTTTCCCATTACTAAGTAAAATTACATGTTGATAACATTTCAGATAATTATAACGAGAAACTTTCCATATTTCTAAAATTTTACTGTAATTGACTATTGTAATTAAAGATTGCAAGTTAATTTCTCAATCTTCATTTGCTTTACCAGAAATTTCAATGTTATTATCAAACTCTTCAAAAAATGGTTCAAACGAATCATCATTAGACAATATAATTTTCAAGATTGGTACTTTATATACATGATAACATACAGATTGACACATCTGTTTGTAATGAGCATTATAAATTAGCTGGGTAAAATACTTACTTATTATAAGACTGATACCATTAAAAAATGTTTGAACAACAAATAGTTGTGTATATTGTAATGTTGATACCTTTCAAATTGAGTAATGATTATTAATAGACTCAAATTTAAGTTAATTTTCCAAAGCTTCTTGAACTTCTAAAAAAAAAAAGCTCGATTGTATAACTTTTTAAATTGGTGCATTTTCAGACTTTGCACATTGTGTAGACTGTGTTTTTACTATAAAACATCATGATATAAAGCACTTTACCCAAGTATGCTTTTTATTTAGCAACATTATAGTTACATATCTTTTACCTGGTGAATATTTTTCAATTAGATCTTGAACTCTCTATTCAAATACCTCTTCACAATACAAATATTGAATATTTTTAAAATTCTTAAAAAATCTTGATAAAGTGAACCTAAGTATGAATGAAGATTCTTTTTGAATATTTTAATAAAGATGATATAAACATTGTATATAGTGAGTTTGAGGAAATACAATAGGAATAGCTGCAATCATTGCAAGGTCTGAGTTAGTAACAAATATTAATAAAGCAATTTCGCATGCTTCTAAGCAACATTGAAGCAACCACTCATATGATTCCTGCCTTTTATCTTGCATAAATACCTAAGCTGCTAATTTATTTTTGTTTTAATTATTGATTAGAATAAAAAGACTCAGTAGAAGATTATATTTATTAGTTCGTACAGTGTTATCATGGATAATTATGTCATAGAACTTGGCTCATCTTTTATATTGCTCTGGCAATATTTAAAAAATACCAACTAACTGATTACTTGTATTATCTATTAATAGTTTTACAAACCATGCTAGATCATTAAATTTAAGTTCTAAAAGTTTTGTTAACAGAGAAGCAGTATTGCTTAACTTTATCTCTTTTTCTCGTTTTATTTTCTGAATAGCATTTCCAAGATTTTGAGTAAAGAAAACATGTTTTAGATACTTTGGTTGAAGAAGATTTTTAATCATTGTTGTATCATATCGACTATATATAATATAATATTCGATTTGTTCTATAATTTCTTAAGAAAAACTTTTATATGCAGCAACAAATATTGTGATCTCAGCATGGATCTGATGGTTGTGTTTACTATTAAACAAAGTCACTGTTACTATTGGAGAATTTAATAGTTTTGTTATGTTTTTGCTATTCACATTCTTGCTTTTTGCTTCCTTTATTTTTTTGTTTGCCTAGTGTTGGTCTCGAAAGCTGCTCATGATATTATCCTCCCATATTGTACTTAAGAACTCTTTTTCTACAAATGCTATTTGTGAAAGTTTCACATTTGTGTTTATAAACAGAGAAATGATTTTGAAAAGCATATTGCTCTATATAATGAATAGCAACTGGCATAGAGATAAACTGAGTGCCTACTTCAATCTTAATAGAAGTAGTGATTAAAGACAAGCTGCTAGTGTAATTTTTGAATTCAGAACCTAAGACATTTTCATCGAACTGTGTATTATTAATACTAACTAACTCTTTATCATTATCTGTGTATGTGCTTACAAGAGTATTATTAGAGGACTCAAAAAAGCTATTGTCTTCAGATGCAGTTTCAGAAAACATAATTGGAAAAAGAAAATCTAAAAAATTCTTAATAAACAGAATGATTGAGTTCACTTGTTAACCAATTCTGGAAGCACATAGAGTTTTAAATTAAAGATAAAATAAAAAAAAAATATGAATGCTAATTACTTTACTTACTATAGTGAATAAGGTAGCAGTACAACACCCAGATATAGTTAACAAACAACGAAGTCAGGCTTTTTTTAACAAAAGAAATATTAAAATAATACTAGTTTCAAAATGCATAGAATTTGAAAATAGTATTGGGCTTACTGTAGCAAACATGGTGGCACTATAATGCACAAAGTTAGACTTTTTAAAAAAAAAAGTTAAATTAATACTAATTTCAAGATGCATAGAATTTGAAAATATATAGTGCTTACTCAGTAGATAAGGTAGTGCTTAATAAGTGACAATGATAGAATTGGGCTTAAGAAAAATTAAAAGAAACCTTGAATGCTGGTATTAAAGTTTCAAGAATAAAAGAAAAAAAAAACTCACATAATAAATAAGATAGAAAATTTTTGGGCTCAAAAGTATGACTTTCTGTTATTATAATTTTTACTTTTCCTGTTCTAGTTTTTCTATTGATTACAAACTTTTCTTCTTTACACGTTGAATACTATTTTACACTTCACAAGATGAAATTCGATAAATCTTTATTATATAAGTAACAAAAAATATGTTATTACAATTTTTGTTTTTTCTAATATATGATTAATCAAAAAACAAATAAAATTACTAATTTTGTATATAGCACAATTAGCTTTGGAACTATATCAGTACTTGCACATGTGTATACAAAGATATATCACATTGTGTGCTTATATTCACTTAGATAAGTTTCTCTACTATAAGTATTCTTTGCTTTTACTTTTCACCTCTACTATTTTCTAGTCAAAAGATTATTTTTCATTATTCTGCTCCTTTTATATTTTTTTGATCATTATATTATTTGTACAACATTTGTCATTATATATTATTATATACTATATACTACCACATACTATACATACATACATACCAGGGCCAATGATTTACTGTTTTGGTTAAGACCAAATTCTGTTTTCAGTTAAGAAAAATTCTGTGATGTCATGTGCTGTTTTTTTAATGTATTCTGTGAAATTCTGTGATGAAAAAGTTAATTTCTGCATAATTCTGCGGTAATTTAGTTTGATTTTGTGATTTGATGCGATTAAAAAATACAAATGTGCAAAATTCCGTAACTTCCCGACAAACATGTTAGTAATTACATTTTCGGGATTTCCCGGTGCTCCTGCGATATTATAGAATTCTGTGATATTCTGCACTACTTTTATAGAATTCTGTGATATTCTGCACTACTTTTTTAGATTTCCGTGACATTCTGCGACGATAAAGGTGATTTCTGTGGTTAACTGTTTTTAAGGGCTATTTTCTGTGATCGCAGTAAATCATCGGCCCTGTGTCAGAGTTAAGTACTGTACGTACAGTACGTACGTAGATATTTTTAAAGGATTATACAGTTTTTGTATGATATACAGTATATGTGTTAAAATTTGCTGTGAAGTAAATAAATACCTAAGTACTGTACATATTGAAATGATATTAATCTTAAATGATCAGGATTGGTTTAAGATTGCTGTTGAACAATAATATATTAAATTATTTGGTTATTGCTCTTTTGAGAACGTTAAAAAAATCGGTAGATGTGGATTTGGTATTATATATAGCGCTTGAGGGACAAAATTGACAATTGACAAGAAAAAATTCTTCACAAAAAGTTATAGCGTTTTGTGACCCCATTTTTGTGATGATGAGCGAGGAAAATTTCTGAGATTCTAAATTGTTTATTAATTATATTTTCGATCAGTTATATTTATATTTATTTGAAATTGGTAAGATTCTTAAAATCTGCAGAATCTCGGATTTTCACACGACTTTGTGTTTTGCAAAGCGCAATAATTATCTCGCGAACTATCTATAGATCATAATCACATGAATATTTGATTCGCAAAGAATCGAATTAGGGCTACCGCCGATCTGCGATAGCATAGTCTGCGCATAAAATGGTCAGCGTTAAAGATAGAGTAATATCGGATCATTTCAGGATAATAGACAGTCAATAAACACGAGCTGGTTGTCAGGAATCTTCGAGAGGTATAATTTACCTGGTATGTTATTGAAGGGTTCGGTAACCCTAACAATCGCATATTTCTACTTGATTTGCATACTCTGCAGCATAATTTTAAAAATCTATCGCATAATTCGCATAAATCGAATTGTAAAGCAGGTCTGTCGCAGCAGAAAATGATGAGCTCTAAATAGAATGATACCAAAATCATGTGATTATGATCGATAGGTAATTGGGTGATCCCTATGATTAATTTTTATGATTAAATGATTGTGATTGCTAAAGCCAGCAATTCTATCATGAATCTGAGTTGTGTCAAGCTTAGATTTATGATAATTGGCCGGCTTTGGCAATTGCGATCACAATCACAATCACTTAATCATAAAAAATCAATCATAAGGGTCACAAACCGCAATAATTTTTTGTGAAGATTTTTATTTTTTTTATTATTGCGGTTTGCATAATTTTGTGCCCCTTGATTGCGATCGCAATAGCTAAAGCCAGCCAATTTATCATGAATCTGAGTTTGTGTCAAGCTCAGATTTATGGCAAATTGGCCGGCTTTAGAAATCACGATCGCAATCACAATCATTTAATAATAAAAAAAAATAATCATAGGGTCACAAATTATGCAAACCGCAATAATAACCCTTATTACTTTATAATATTAAAATAATTCTATGGTTAATTATCATGAGAATATAATACGATTCTTGGAATTACTTACGGGTGTCAATTTTGCGTAATTAACAAATTTATAAAATATTCATCGGTGAAAATTTTGATCAAATTAGATCCATAAACTGAACTATAATACATGGTTCTTCAGCTTGCAAACGACGGAATTTTCAATATTATTTATATAGCAAATTTTCTGAATTAGATTGGTCAACTAAAATTAGAAGGCTATGGATATTACTAGTGGAATCCACTGTTTGCATAGCTAAGATATTGTTCATCACGACCTCGCAAGAGAATCTAATTTACCAACTTTTATTGTATATATGTTGTGCCCCAGATGTCAATTTTAATTGGCCAAAATTATCAGCCTAAACAAATTAATTTAACAGGGCGTTTAGCTAATTTTAGTAAATTGACATCTGGGCCGTCCCAATTGATGATTGGGCAAATTTAGATTTGAGGCACAACATATATACATTAATACGCTAAGAGCATGATAAAAATGTTCTAATGTATTATGGAAGATTAATAATTACGGACTTTAGTTTATCTCAATCATTAAACATAACCACTAAATCTATTAATGGTTATTCTACCGCAGTATCTCAAAGATATGTTTTTATATAAACGAGACAAACCCTCAGGTATCTATGGCCTTTCTGGAAAATTTCAAGTAACGTTCCCCTTTTAAAGAAATGTCAGGTTCAACAGAAATATAGTCTTACATGTAATTTCTGGCAAAATCAAGTTCATATCGAGATTACGTGATGCCGATTGGAACCCGATTTGCCTTCATTCGACCTGTGTTCCTTATGATTTTACTTTAAAATTTCATGATTCTTTCAGCAATAAACAAATTAATTGTTTAGAATCATGAATATGTAATAATTCTTATAAGATTAAATTTGGTGAAACTTTGCAATAGTAAATTTTATCGGGCCAAAAAGAAACAAAATTTAATAATACACAATCAAATTCTTTATAACATAATGAATGTGCAAATTATATTCCTACAAAAAATACTAAATCAAATATGTTGCAAAATAATGAATCAACAACTTCTATTTTTGCAAAAAAATATTTTAAGAAATCAGAATCATCGTTTTTTTTTTTGATCTGCAAATTTTCGGTGATTCTTCATATCTACCCATCATATTATGAATTTCTCCGCGAATTCCTAATGCCAACGCACTACTTGGATCAATTTTTAATTTGTTTTAAGTCTGTAAGAGATTCTTTATAATTTTCATCATATAATAACTATCGCCGCGAATTCTTAATGCAAATGCGTTATTTGGTTCAATCTTCAATGATTTATTGCGGTTTGCATTTTATGAAATTTATAGATCATAAAAAAAAAAAAAAGAAATCGCTAGTGATTTCTTAAAACTACTCCCGGCATCTGAGTACGAAGTTGTCATATCAGAGTAGCATTAAGAATCAAAAATCACTAGAAATTGCCTAAAATCAAGTGGTTTTTTTTTATAATCTGCAAATTTCACAAAATTATGTAAATACAGTATAGTATGTTAGCGATTTTTTATATTTACACCACCATCATGCGATCAATTTTTCGTATTCACGATGTTTTTTCCTGTTTTATTATAATTCCTCCGCATTACTTGGATCAGCTTCCAATGACTTGGTTAACTCCACATGTTTCCAAATATCAGAATCTTAGATAATTTTGCCCAATATTTTATAATTTTTGATCTACATACATATCGGTATAGTGCAGTGTTGTCAATTGGACACATTTTAACAGTTTTAATAGTTTTGGACAGGGTTTTGGACATGTAAAAAGTTGTCCAAACCTGTCCAAAACATGTCCAAAACTGTCCAATTGACAACATTGGTATAGTGTATTATAAACAAATATATATAAAGAAAAAAGCCCTCATGATAATTGTATGATAAAATATAACAAACCTAAAGGAATCAAATTTTTGAATAAGTAGAAGCATTAACAATATACGTATCATTAAATTTATCACGAATTCATTTATGTCAGGACGTAGATTTGATTCATCATTCCAAGCACTGAGATAAAGATTAATAAAGTCAATAGAGTTTCATTAATTGGAGTTCTCTTTTTGAAGCAGATATTTGGCGCAAATAGAAAACCTTTAGGATACAAATTGGGTTCATATAGGCATATCGGAATGCCGATAGCTCTATTGATAAATCGATAAAGCTTGCCTTATAG